ATATGGGAAAATGCCTAGGCTTCTCTGGAATTCACATCTGCTCCGTGACCAAAGGGGACAAATGGCATTTAAGCTAGTGGTTAGGGTGTCGAGATCATAAACTACAGTATAACGGTTAGTCCCGCTGGGGATATTGATAAGACCTAAGCGAGGTCGAAAATGCGGTCTTCACTGGATGAAAATAAATTTTGTGAAATCAGGGCTATGTTAAATTCAATGGAAACGTCGTGTCTACTCATTAAAGTCGTAAAATTCAACCAACAGTCCCCTTATCACTTTAAATGAAATAGGATGAATACATTTTATATTTATATTCACTAATAAATGAACTACAAAAACCCATAATATTACATGATCGTTTCGATATCAGGTCAAAGTACATCGTCTCAATGATGGATTGGGCTATGATGATGGCGCAGTAATTAAGCGTGACGGGCAGGCGAGATCAAAACGTAAATCTACCCTTTGGGAGAAAAGGTTAATTCAAATTTAATTACATCTAGCAACGTTAAAACTCAATAATCAGTCTCTAAAGCACCTTAAGCGACCTTTGGTGACTATGCTCAAATTTAAGAATTATTTACACTCTAAACCTGATTAGATCTATGTATAAGTAAAAGGATTCATGTAAAAATTTTCAGACTTAAAAAATTAAGAATGAGTATAATAATTAAGGATAAATAGAATTAAAAATTAAATAGAATGAATTTTTTTCAATAGTAATTCACCATTCTTGCCTTTGAACATATTTTTAAAAAGGGCGCAGATAATTCCAATTATTAGATGAAAGGCCGATTTAAAAAAAGAAGGTAAGTAGGTAATAAAGAATAAAATATCTACCACAAAGGAATAGTATAAAGAATGTCATCTTGCAAATTAATTTAATTGTAAGGAGTATAAATGGGATAATGGTAAAATATGCGCGGTCTGAAAACCTCTAAGGCACGAGAGGAGTTGGATCGATAACTTGAATAATCAAATTTGCATTCAGTTGTACATTTTTATTTGACAATGAGTTTGAGGATATGATGACATCCTAGGAGCGGCGAGCCAAAATTAAGGAGATGATATCCATCTTACAGGTAAACACAGTACATATATTGTGAGAATTTCAAAACACGATAAGGGCGAACACTAATCAGATCATAAGAATGCTAGGGTTAAGTTGCATTTTCTAGGAAGGGAGAAAATTCAGGCCGAAGTACCTAAGTACATGATAAGATTAACTAATGTGCATTGATGCCCTGACGATGAATCAAAGTGGATCAGACACGATCATGTGAATATTCCGCACGAATCGTTTGTTTCGTATAAATAAGGCATCTTACTATAATTGAATTTAAGTAGCACGATTTATAAACAAGAAAATAAAAGTGAACCACAGTATAACCTTAGTCATCGTCTCTGCTGCGTCGTCCTGATCACTGGACCTCTCGTCTATATTGCCAGTACCGCGACTGTACAAATTCCCAGCTGAGCCTGTCTCCTCGGATCCGTACAGATCACCCAGGCAAGCAGTCGTAGCAGGGCTGCATTTGATGTCATGTGAGGCGTCTGGTGAATAGAGAGGATGCCGACGTATCAGAACTGTCAGCGTGATAACACTTCTGGGCCAGATGCTATGTGGCTCTTCATCATCCAAAACCTGGATATTATAATTTTGGATAAATAGGTGATAAAAAGATAAAAGTAAGAGAAAATAGGCCAACATTTGACATTTTTATAAAATTCAGCCACAACGTTATCAACTATGCAAAAATAGCAACAAAGGTAAAATTGATTTTATGAATCAGGGATTTCCGCATTGATAGATTTTTAAAAATGTTTGGCTCTTCTTCCATGAATTTAGCGAGAAGTGACTCATTCTGATTAAAAATAGTAAATCCATCTGCAAGAATAATCAATTGGTGATCACAACCAAGGAAAATAAGAAGAATTTTGAAGTGTGGTAGTAGCAGAAATGTTTCCTAC